TTTCCAAAAAAAAAATTTAAATTTTTTTTTGTAAAAATAAACCCTTTGTACCCTCTCCTTTTTGAGGAATGCCTCAAACCCTCTGTTGTGAATTTTAATTAATTACACCGTACTTTAGTTCCTGCTGTCCTCCTTCCAAACAAATGAACTCTGCACTTCTATGTGAGCGAAGGGTATATACCCACTATTGTACACTTCTTTAGATACAATCTGAAGAACCGTTTTCTCTTGAGGAAGGCAAGCAAATTTATTTAACTTAAAAAATAAATTGTTTCTTTTGTAATCATCACCACAATAGATACCCTTCTCCAGTTTGGAAAGCATAATTTGCTCCTGCCCATCTTTCCACTCTGGATGAATAACATAGTTTTTTCCATGTACCTCTAGCACCTCTAGGCAGTTTCCAGCAAAGACACTTTCCTGCTTTGTTTCTTTCCTAGATGGCTGTATTTTCTTTGGATGGAGAAGAGGATATGCAAAGTCCAGGGTCTTCCCTAAGGGAAATGTTTTCTCAATGTCCTTCCGTTTCATGTATCTATACTGGATAGATTGAGGGGTAAGCTGTGGACCAGGTTGCATCTGCTGCTCTGGAAAAATAGGTAATGTTTACTTTTGGAACAAAAATTTTTAATAACAAGGATTAATAATGAAGAGCAAATATTATTCTAATGTTATTACATGTACATATTTGCAAAATAACCACAGTGAAAAATACAGTCTTTCACGGCTTATAAGGCTTGTTTCAGTTTCAATGGCTCGGCATCAGACGTAACTGGGAGAGCTACAGCCCACCCAACACCCCAAACTTATATCTCCTGTCGCTGACCTTCAGTTTATAGGACACAGGTTGGTTTTTGGAGGCATTTTATGGAAAAAAATGAGTCTAATAAGCCACAAAATATGGTAGTTAAATTCAAAGTGCTTTTGTGATTTCTCATATTATCAAGGAACAGTAAAAGCAACAGGACAACAGAAAACTTAAAAAAGCTGAGATATAACCTCACATATTACATTATTATAATAAAAAAGAAGCACTAAACCACATAATCTCACATATGATTCTACTCACTCAGCATGGGAGTTTTGAACCAAGTGATAGAGTACTTGTGGTTGGGGATCTCAATGCCAAAGTGGGTAAAAATGTTGTGGAGGGAGTACAGTGTAGTAGTTAAATTTGGGGTGCCAGGGGTAAATGAAAATGGGGAGCCTTTAATTGAGCTATGTATAGAAAGAGGTTTGGTAATAAGTAATACATATTTTATGAAAAAGAAGATAAATAAGTATACTAGGTATGATATAGCACGTAATGAAAGTAGTTTGTTAGATTATGTATTGGTGGATAAAAGGTTGGTTGATGGGTAGGCTTCAGGATGTATATGTTTATAGAGGGGCAACTGATATATCGGATCATTATTAGTTGTAGCTACAGTTAGAGTAAGAGGCAGATAGGACAAAGGAAAATGGCAACAGCAAGTAAGAGAGAGAGAGGTGTAGATCAAGTGTTTACATTGAAACATATCTATTAACAGTATTTTGATAAAGGTAGGGAAGTTTTCATTGTATTTAAGGATTTAGAAAAGGCATATGATAGTGGATAGGGGAGCAATGTGGCAGATGTTGCAAGTACATATATGGAATAGGTAGTAAGTTACTAAATGCTGTAAAGAGTTTTTATGAGGATAGTGAAGCACAGGTTAGGGTGTGTAGGAGAGAGGGCGATTACTTCCTGGTAAAAGTAGGTCTTAGACAGGGATGTGTAATGTCACCATGGTTGTTTAATATATTTATAGATGGGGTTGTAAAAGAAGTAAATGCTAGGATGTTCAAGAGAGGGGTGGGATTAAATTATGGGGAATTAGATACAAAATGGAAATTGACACAGTTACTTTTTGCTGATGATACTGTGCTTTTGGGAGATTCTAAAGAAAAGTTGGAAAGGTTAATGGACGAGTTTGGGAGGGTGTGTCAAGGTAGAAAGTTGAAAGTGAACATAGGTAAGAGTAAGGTGATGAGGGTATGAAATGATTTAGATAAAGAAAAATTGGATATCACATTGGAGAGAGGGAGTATGGAAGAAGTGAATGTTTTCAGATATTTGGGAGTTGACTTGTCAGCAGATGGGTTTATGAAGGATAAGGTTAACCATAGAATTGATGAAGAAAAAATGGTGAGTGATGCGTTGAGGTATCTGTGGAGACAAAAAAAACGTTATCCATGGAGGCAAAAGGGAATGTATGAAAGTGTAGTGGTACCAACACTCTTAAATGGGTGTGAAGCTTGGGTTGCAAATGCTGCAGCGAGGAGGCGGCTGGAGGCAGTGGAAATGTCCTGTCTAAGGACAATGTGTGGTGTAAATATTATGCAGAGAATTTGGAGTGTGGAAATTAGGAGGAGGTGTGAAGTTACTAAAAGTATTAGTCAGAGGGCTGATGAGGGGTTACTGAGGCAGCTTGGTCATTTAGAGAGAATGGATCAAAGTAGAATGGCTTGGAAAACGTATAAATCTGTAGGGGAAGGCAGGAGGGGTAGGAGTTATCCTTGAAAAAGTTGGAAGGAGGGGGTAAAGGAGGTTTTGTGGGTGAGGGGCTTGGACGTCCAGCAAGTGTGTGTGAGCATGTTAGATGGGAGTAAATGGAGACGAATGGTTTTTGGGACTTGATGAGCTGTTGGAGTGTAAGCAGGGTAATATTTAGTGAATGGATTCAGGGAACCTGGTTATTAGATTTTTGCTGGACTTGAGTCCTGGAAATGGGAAGTACAATGCCTGTACTTTACAGGAGGGGTTTGGGATATTGGCAGTTTAGAGGGATATGTTATATATCTTTATACATGATTCTCAACTGTTGTATCTGGATGCCTCTGCAAAGACAGTGATTATGTGTGAGTGAGGTGAAAGTGTTGAATGATAATGAAAGTATTTTCTTTTTGGGGATTTTCTTTCTTTTTGGGTCACCCTGCCTCAGTGGGAGACAGCCAACTTGTAGAGAGAAAAAAAAAAGTATTAAGCCAAGGGAAATTTTGTCAACATAACATATAACCCTAAATGAATCTAACTGATACAATCATGAACTTACATTCAAATTGCAATCAATACTATTTTTTATGAAGCTTGATTATAATTTGCTTAACCATGGACGTCCTTGTGTTTGCATGTATATTTGTGTACTCATATGTGTGTGAGTGCTTGTGCTCATGTGTGTATGTATACTCATGTATGTGTGTGTGTGTACTCACCTAGTTGAGATTGCAAGGGTCGAGTCTGAGCTCCTGTGTGTGTGTGTGTGTGTACTCACCTATTTGTGGTTGCAGGGGTCGATTCACAGCTCCTGGCCCCACCTCTTCACTGATTGCTACTAGGTCCTCTCTCTTCCTGCCCCATGAGCTCTATCATACCTCGCCTTAAAACTATGTATGGTTCCCGCCTCCACTACGTCACTTTCTAGGCTATTCCACGGCCTGACTACTCTATGACTGAAGAAATACTTCCTAACATCCTTTTGATTCATCCGAGTCTTCAACTTCCAATTGTGACCTCTTGTGTCTGTGTCCCTTCTCTGGAACATCCCGTCTTTGTCCACCTTGTCTATTCCGCGCAGTATTTTATATGTCGTTATCATGTCTCCCCTGACCCTCCTGTCCTCCAGTGTCGTCAGGCCGATTTCCCTCAACCTTTCTTCGTAGGACAATCCCCGTAGCTCTGGGACTAGTCTTGTTGCAAACCTTTGCACTTTCTCTAATTTCTTGACGTGCTTGACTAGGTGTGGATTCCAAACTGGTGCTGCATACTCCAGTATGGGCCTGACGTAAATGGTATACAGAGTCTTAAACGAATCCTTACTGAGGTATCGGAATGCTATCCATAGGTTTGCCAGGCGCCCGTATGCTGCAGCAGTTATCTGATTGATGTGCGCCTCAGGAGATATGCTCGGTGTTATACTCACCCCCAGATCTTTTTCCTTGAGTGAGGTTTGCAGGCTTTGGCCATCTAAACTATATTGTGTCTGCGGTCTTCTTTGCCCTTCCCCAATCTTCATGACTTTGCATTTGGCAGGGTTAAATTCAAGGAGCCAGTTGCTGGACCAGGCTTGTAGCCTGTCCAGGTCTCTTCGTAGTCCTGCCTGATCCTCATCCGATTTGATTCTTCTCATTAACTTTGCATCATCTGCAAACAAGGACACTTCTGAGTCTATCCCTTCCATTATGTCGTTCACATATACCAAGAACAGCACTGGTCCTAGGACTGACCCCTGTGGAACCCCGCTTGTCACAGGCGCCCACTCTGACACCTCGTCACGTACCATGACTCTTTGTTGCCTCCCTGTCAGATATTCTCTGATCCATTGCAGTGCCTTTCCTGTTATGTGTGCCTGATCCTCTAGCTTTTGCAGTAACCTCTTGTGAGGAACTGTGTCGAAGGCCTTCTTGCAGTCCAAAAATATGCAGTCGATCCACCCCTCTCTCTCTTGTTTTACTTCTGTCACCTTGTCATAAAACTCTAGTAGGTTTGTGACACAGGATTTTCCTTCCCTGAATCCGTGCTGGTTGTCAATTATACACTTGTTTCTTTCCAGGTGCCCCACCACTCTCCTCCTGATGATCTTCTCCATGACCTTGAATACTATACACGTTAGTGATACAGGTCTGTAATTTAGTGCCTCATGTCTGTCTCCCTTTTTAAAAATTGGGACTACATTTGCCATTTTCCATACCTCAGGGAGTTGCCCAGTTTCAAATGATGTGTTGAAGATCTTTGTTAATGGCTCACACAATATCTCTGCTCCCTCTTTAAGGACCCATGGAGATGTTTCGGGGCCCCCGATTTGAGGTGCAAGTTGCATAGCAGCTCTTCCCCCCTCCCGTTATATGTACCCATCCAGCACTTGCTGGTGTCCCCCCCTGGTTTGATTTCCTGGAGTCCTACGGTTTTCCCACTGTAAATACCTCTTTAAGTTTTGTGTTAAACTCCTACATACCTTTTGGTCGTTTCTTGTGAATTCTCCATCCCCCTTTCCCTCACTGATTACCTGGTCCTTGACTGTTTTTTTCCCTCCTGAGGCTGTAAAAACAGTTTCGGTCATCTTTACTTTTGATGCTATGTCATTTCTTTTGTCTCGAGCCTCCCTTCTTATCTGTGATTTTCGTTTTTGGCCCTTTTTCGCTGATTTCTTTATTTCCTGGTTCTCTGTCTTCTGTACCTTTTCCATTCTCTAGAACCTATTTTTCCTCCTACACCTTTGGGTGAACCAAGGACCGTTCTTTTTTTCCATTATTTTTTGTTTTCCCTTTTGGGCAAAACCTCTCCTCTGCCCCTTGCTTTTGTTTCCACATAGTCCTCCCCTTTTTGTACTTGGGTTTCCTGTCATTCCCTCCCCACTGAATGTCTTTAAGGGAAATTTTCCCCATGCCTGAGTATTCCCCCTTTTTTTATTTTTGGTTTTTCCCACCTATTCGCTACTCTCTCCCCTGGGGTCAACTATGATCCGAAGCACAGAACCACATGTCACTAGCTCCCAGGGGCCCTTTATACATATACCCTCAAAGTCCAACTCTCAAGGTCAAAACAAGGTCCATCGCTGGTTCATCCCCTCCCCTCTCTGGGGAGTTCTCTTTAAAATGTTGTGCATGAGGGCTTTCCAGTACCACATCCCATCTTTGGGTCTCCCTGTTTGGGACCCCCCTGGGGCCCAGGGTTTTCCCCGTCAATCCCTTTTGATTGAAACACCCCTAAATAAACTTTTCTCCCCCCCCTGTGTGCTCTCCTGCCACCCCGTTAGTGGTCGATCATTGCTCTGTTGCCCATGTATTCTTTTCTTGGCCCCCCCTGCAGTTCTGGGTGGGTTGTACATTACTGCAATTATCACCTTATGTCCCTCAGACTGGATTGTTCCTAGTAAGTAGTCCCTTTCGCCCGTGCCATCCATTCCTTCCATTTTCTCAAAACCCCACTGGTTTTTAATGAGCAGTGCAATTCCTCCTCCCCCTCTCCTCCCTCTGTCTTTCCTGAGGATTTGATATCCGGATGGAAAGATTGAATCTGTTATTATTCTGGTGAGTTTTGTTTCTGTGAGTGCTATTATGTCTGGGGATGTCTCCTTGATTCTTTCGTGCCACTCCTCATACTTGTTTGTTATTACATCTGCATTTGTATACCACACCTTCAACTTCTTTTCTAAGACTCTGGTCTGGGAGGTATATTGGGGTTGGGGAAGTGGGAGACCTGGTAAGGAACTATGGGTTGTTGCTGTGGGGGTGGAGTTTGTAATGTAGTGGGTGGGGGCATTGGATGTGGCATGGGTGTTTTGATTTAGTGTGTTTGGTTGCACTGGGGCTGACCTGGTTGGGAGGCTTCTATAGGAAGTTGTGAGGGAGGCTGTATTTGATCTATTCCTGGGTCTGGGATCTCCTGTCTGTCTTCTCCATCCCCTCTCTTTCCTCCTTTCGCCTTTGTACCATCTCTCTCAGTTTCTGCCTTTCTTCTTGTGTTCTGTCGCGGTCGAGATACACCTTCCTGTATGCCGGCATGTCCCTTAATCGTGCTTTCTCCTGCAGGATCCTGGTCCGAGTCGCTTCTGCCTTGAAGGTCACTTTCACTGGCCGGGTTCTTTTTTTTACAAACCCCCCTATTCTCCGAAAATTTTCCAGCTGGGTCATGTCGTCTTCTCCTATTGCTTTCATGATGCTTTCAATTGCTTTTTTTCCCCCTTGTTTTCTTGCTTCATATGTTTCCCCTTCAACTTCCTGGAGCCCATACACAAAGACTGACCTCACCCTTTCATTCTCCCACTGCATATCCCTGTGTATCCCCTCATTTAATTTGGTTTCCTTCACTGCAGCTTTCCTTTCTTCAGTTTCACTGGCTAATGTACTTGGGCTCAGTGGCCTGTCATTTTCCCTTCTCGGCTTTCCTTGGGCTCTGTTGTTGTCTGTTAGGGCCTCCACATAAAGCTTAGCTCTTTCATTTACTACAGTCTCCTCTGATAGAGCTTCTCCATGCAGTTGTGCCCCTTCTTTCCCTACAGTCCCCTTATTTGTGGCTAAGGTAGCAGTCTCTGTTGTCAATCCCAAAATGTTCTTTAGTTCTTTAGGCTGTTTCAGATTTTGTGTGTGTGTGTGTGTGTGTGTGTGTGTGTGTGTGTGTGTTGTGTGGTGTGTGTACTCACCTATTGGTGTGTGTGTGTGTACTCACCTATTTGTGTGTGTGTGTGTGTTGTGTGTGTGTGTGTGTGTGTGTGTGTGTGTGTGTGTGTGTGCACTCACCTAGTTGTGGTTGCAGAGGTTGAGTCATAGCTCCTGGCCCTGCCTCTTCACTGGCCACTACTGGGTCACTCTCCCTGCACCATTAGCTTTATCATACCTCTGGTTAAAGCTATGAATGGATCCTGCCTCCACTACATCGCTTCCCAAACTATTCCACTTCCTGACTACTCTGTGACTGAAGAAATACTTCCTAACATCCCTGCGATTCATCTGTGTCTTCAACTTCCAACTGTGTCCCCTTGTTGCTGTGTCCCATCTCTGGAACATTCTGTCTCTGTCCACCTTGTCAATTCCTCTCAGTATTTTATAAGTTGTTATCACGTCCCCCCCTATCTCTCCTGTCCTCCAGTGTCGTCAGGTCAATTTCCGTTAACCTCTCCTCATAGGACATACCACTTAGCTCTGGGACTGGTCTTGTTGCAAACCTTTGCACTTTCTCTAGTTTCTTTACGTGCTTGGCTAGGTGTGGGTTCCAAACTGGTGCCGCATACTCCAATATGGGCTTAACGTACACAGTGTACAGGGTCCTGAACGATTCCTTATTAAGATGTCGGAATGCTGTTCTTAGGTTTGCTAGGCACCCATATGGAGTTCTTACTGACAAAGAGAATGAAATGTGCTCTATTTTTAATAATTATTTTCTCTCGGTTTTTACTCAGGAAGACATGAATATCCCAATAAATAGGTTTTTTAGTGGGCCTGAAGAAGATAAATTATGTAATATCACAGTCACTAGCAAAATGGTTATCAAACAGATAGACCATTTGAAGCAAAATAAATTGCCTGATCCTGATGAGCTTTTTTCAAGGGTTCTTAAGGAATGCAAAATGGAACTCTGTGAACCTTTAACTAATATTTTTAATTTGCCTCTTCAAACAGGTGTAGTGCCTGATATAAGAACATAAGAAAGAAGGAACGCTGCAACAGGCCTACTGACCCATGTGGAGCAGGTCCATGTCCCCCCCCCCGGATTAGCCCAATGACCCACCCAGTCTGGTCACCTCCACTCAAGGATGGAGCACGGCACCAGACCCAGCAGCACAAGCTAGTCAGGTTCAACTCACACCCACTCATGTATTTATCTAACCTATTTTTAAAACTACACAACGTTTTAGCCTGAATAACTGTACTCAGGAGTTTGTTCCACTCATCCACGACTCTATTACCAAACCAGTGCTTTCCTATATCCTTCCTGAATATGAATTTTTCCAACTTGAAACCATTGCTGCGAGTCCTGTTTTGGCTGGAAATTTTCAGCATGCTATTTACATCCCCTTTATTTATTCCTGTTTTCCACTTATACACCTTGATCATATCCCCCCTAATTCTACGCCTTTCGAGAGAGTGCAGATTCAGGGCCCTCAGTCTATCCTCATAGGGAAGATTTCTGATACATGGGATCATCTTTGTCATCCTCCTCTGTACGTTTTCCAGAGCATTTATATCCATTCTGCAATATGGTGACCAGAACTGAGCAGCATAGTCTAAATGAGGCCTAACCAAGGATATATAGAGTTGAAGAACCTGAGGACTTCTATTATTTATACTTCTAGATATGAAGCCAAGAATTCTGTTAGCTTTATTGGGAACACTAATGCACTGTTGTCTTGGTTTTAGATTACTGCTAACCAGAACTCCTAAATCCTTTTCGCAATCAGTAGTATTAAGATCTACATTATTTAGTTTATATGTGGCATGGTTATTTAACTGTCCAACATTTAGAACTTTGCATTAGTCAATATTAAACTGCATCTGCCAGTTCCCCGACCATTGCATCAGTCTATTCAAATCCTGGAGTGCTCTAGTGTCCTCATTAGAATGAACTGGACGGCCTATTTTGGTGTCATCAGCAAATTTGCTTATGTCTATTTATTCCCTCATCTATGTCGTTTATGTAAATTGTGAACAACAACGGGCCCAACACTGACCCTTGAGGAACACCGCTTGTGACGTGCCCCCATTCTGATTTCTCCCAATTTATGCAAACTCTCTGCTGTCTATTTGTCAGCCATGCCTCTTCCCAGGAAAAAATTTCTCCTATTCCGTGTGCCTTAAGTTTCCTCAATAGCCTCTGGTGTGGAACTCTATCGAAAGCCTTACTGAAGTCCATATACACAATATCATATTCATTACCATGATCTACCTCCTCAAACACCTTAGTGAAAAAAGTTAGTAAATTCATAAGACAGGAACGCCCTTTGTAAAACCGTGTTGAGATTCATTAATCAATCTGTGCCTGTCAAGATGGCTACGAATTGGTTCGGCAATTATTGATTCCATAAATTTTCCCACTATGGAGGTATGGCTTATTGGTCTATAGTTCAAAGCCAAGGACCTGTCACCTGCCTTGTAAATAGGTATTACATTTGCCATTTTCCACTTATCAAGCACTATGCCAGTTTGTAGTGATATGTTAAAAAGATTAGCCAAAGGTATGCTATGTTCCTCTTTACATTCCTTTAACACCCTTGCAAACAGTTCATCAGGACCTGGGGATTTGTTAGGTTTTAGTTTCTCTATTTGTCTGAGGACCATGTCACTAGTTACCGCAATCGTACATGGTTTATTATCCTGTTCTACATAATCTATTATTTCAGGAATATCGCTAGTATTTTCCTGGGTGAAAACTGAGAGGAAGTAGGTATTGAGAATTTCACACATATCCTTATCACTGTCAATGATCTGACCAGAGTTACTCTTAAGTGGGCCAATCTTGTCCCTAATCTTACTTCTGTATACCTGAAAGAACCCTTTTGGGTTAGTCTTTGAATCCCTTGCGACCTTAGCCTCATAATCCCTTTTTGCTTTTCTTATTCCTTTCTTTATTTCTCTCTTTAATTGAATATATTGATTTCTTAACTGCCCATCCCCTCTTTTGATATGCCTATACGTATATGCCTTTCTTTTGACCAGTGAGATGTTTTAATCTATTGTTCATCCATTTGGGATCATTTTTGTTAGATCTAATTTCCCTACTTGGAACAAAAATTGTCTGGGCAGCTAGAACTATTCTCTGAAAAACGTCATATTGGCAACCAAGATCACCTACCTGATCCATAGTCAGGACATCCCAATTTAGTCCACCCAGGTAATTTTTCAGTCCCATGAAGTTGGCCAAGCGAAAATCTGGGACAGAGATTTGATTGTAGTTATCTGGGTAATTCCATGATATATTGAAACTAAGTGATTTGTGATCACTTTCCCCAAGCTCATCATTAACCTCAAGATTATTAATTAGTGAATCTTTGTTGGCAAGAACCAAGTCAATCAGATTGTTCCTCTAGTTGTTCTGTCACAACCTGTTCTAAAAAGCAATCCTGAACTGTATCAAGAAAGTCACTAGACTCAAGATTTCCTGTCATATTGTTCCAATCAATTTGTCTAAAGTTAAAATCTCCCATTATCACAACATTTTCATATCTAGATGCCTTATGAATTTCGTCCCATAACAGCTTACTGCACTCCCTATCAAGGTTTGGGGGCTTATAAATCACACCCAAAATTAATTTGTCAAGTCCCTCGAGAAACTGTAGCCAAACAGGTTCTGTGTTCGATGTTTCTAATCTTATATCATGTCTAAGACAACAATTTAAATTTTCTCTGACATACATCGCCACTCCACCACCCTTCCTGTTGGCCCTATCAGTGTGGAATAGTTTATAACCCTGTATGTTGCATTCAGAAGGCATTTCTCTATCTTTCAGGTTGAACCAGGTCTCTGTTATACCAATAATATCAATATTACCTACACTTGCAAGTAATCTTAGCTCATCTACCTTATTTCTTAGACTCCTACTATTTGTATAGTAAACCTTAATGGAGCTAGTCACTCGTTGCCCTCTACTATCTCTCTTTGTTTGTTGATCAATTGATTTGCCATTACTAGCAACTTTATTTTGAATATTGTCTTAAACATATCCCTGAGGTATCCCGGTAATAACTGCTGTTTTTAATCCTAATGCTGCAGCCTGATTGTTTCCCACAAACACCCATACCTCTATAATCTATCAGTTTAAATTCCTAGACAAGTCATCAATTACCCTCCCAATTGAATTGGCTAATGCAACCACTCCATCCCCAGAGAGATGAACCCCATCCCTTGCATACATATCACGTTTGCCAAAGAATAGGTCCCAGTTATCAATGAATGGGATTGCAAGTTCCTTGCAGTACCTGTCTAGCCAGCAATTTATACCAATTGCCCTAGACATCCATTCACTGCCCACTCCCTTTCTAGGCAAGATGCTACATATGACTGGGATCCCTCCCTTAGACCTAACTACTTCTGTGGCTAACCTGTACTTATCCAGCAGCTCCTCTCTCCTGCCCTTCCCAATGTCATTACCCCAGCACTAAGACAGATAATGGGCTTGTTCCCATTACCTGCCATAATATTATCTAACCTGCTGACTATGTCACCAACACCAGCTCCAGGAAGGCACACTCTCTGTCTGACCTTTCTGTCTCTGTTACAAAATGCATGGTCCATATATCTTACCTGAGAATTACCTACTATTAAAATATTCTTACCTTGATTAGCAGGGGAATCAGCGGTACCTTCAACCTCACTAACCACTGAAGTACACTCGTCTTGGAGAACAGAGAATCGATTTCCTACCTTCACATCTTCTCTATTACTCTCCTCATCTTCCTTCTTCCTGAACTGTGAACCACTTGCCACTTAAAGCGGCTGCCACTATCACTGCTGGTGAACATTTCCTCCTTACCAGCTAAATCCTTCTCACACTTGCTCCCAAACTCATCTATGTGAAGCTTCAGCCTCCTATTTTCCTCCTGAAGTAGAATCTCCTTCTTAACACTTGAACCTGAGATTCTAAAACACTACAACAAGCCATGGTGCTTGGTAACAGCCCACACTAACTCCCAAGAGCTTAGGCAGGTATGACTGCAGGTGACCACTGACCTCAGCGTACAGTGGAAGATGGCTAATGTAATTCCTATTTTTAAAGCAGGGGACAAGCCGTTACCGTCAAATTACTGCCCAATAAGCCTAACCTCAATTGTAGGCAAATTACTAGAGTCAATTACGTATAGCTGATAATATAAGCCATCTCAATAGGTATAATTTGATTAATGATACTCAACATGGATTCACCAGGGGCTGTTCCTGCCTAACTAATTTATTAACCCTTTCAGGGTCCAGAGGCCAAATTTCGAAGTTTGCCCAGTGTCCAGGAATTTTCAAAAAATAATTTTGCTATTTTTTCTTATGATATGGTAGAGAATCTTTTTCTGAAGGTAATAAAACAAAAAATGTGAAATTTGATGGAAAACTGACGAAATTATGCTCTTGCAAATTTTAACGTGTCAGTGATATTTACGCATCGGCGATTTTGCCAACTTTGACTCCCATTTTAGGCCAATTACCTCATTCCTTAGCTATTTCACTAGTATTACTTCTATTCTATTGATTGAGCACGAGAAATTGCCAACTCAGCTGTTTCATCGACAAAATAAAGTGACTGGAAATTGGTAATTTGGCCAATTTAGTGCAAAGTTCAAAATATTGCAATTTCAAAATAGGGTCCAAAATAACCAAGGAGGCATTCCTGGCACTAAACTAACATTTCCTCTGTTCATTAGTTATGTTTTCAGGCTATACAAATGAATTCCATTTTTATTTTTAATTCACATAATGAATTTTTATTCAAATAAAAAAATTGAAGATTTGCTGTCATGCAATATTGTAATAATTGTATAAATAATATCAGTACATTTGTGAACGTATATTAGACTCACCAACTGGCGTGTATTAGATGTGCGAAGTCATTTGTTTACTCTTGAACATCGGCAAAAATTTAACATTTCCGGTACTTTGAGCTCAATTTCTAGCCATTTTCAATACTAAAACTAATCAAAATCATCTCTATTTCTGTAATATACCTTCCATTCTATCAAATGAAACCAAGAAATCGCAAATACAACTATAAAAAACATACGAAAAAACACTGCAAAGTTGCTGTTTTAATCGAAAATTACGGTCTCAGTTTTTTTTTCTCATTATGCACTGTGTGCTGCAGGATTTGCTTTATGTAGTGCACACATACCACATAGATGTATTATCTCATATCTAGGTCCAAATTTAACGCTCACAGCTTATCAGAGTGAGCTGAGCTCATGGCGTAGATCCACGGTTCGGACCCTCAACATAAAGCCGTAGATCTATGGCACGGACCCTGAATGGGTTAACCTTCTTCAGCAAAGCTTTTGAGGCCATTGACCAGGATAAAGAATTCGATATTTTTTATTTAGATTTTAGTAAGGCTTTTGATAGAGTACCACATCAGAGACTGTTGAAGAAAGTGGCTGCTCATGGCATTGGGGGAAAAATGCTGTCATAGATCGAGTCATGGCTCACTAATAGGAAGCAGAGAGTGTGCATAAATGGGGTTAAATCTGAGTGGGGATCTGTAACAAGTGGCATTCCGCAGGGATCAGTTTTAGGCCCATTGCTGTTTATAATGTATATAAATGACCTTGATGAGGGAATTACTAGTGACATAAGCAAATTTGCTGATGACACGAAGATAGGTAGGATAATCGATTCAGACGTTGATGTCTCGGAACTTGAGGAGGATTTAGACAAACTCAGTTCGTGGTCAGAAAAGTGGCAGATGCAATTCAATGTAGATAAATGTAAAATTCTAAAGCTCAAAAATGTTCATAACCCTAGCATCTACCAGCTTAATAATGCTGAACTTAGCCGTATAGAATGCGAAAAGGATTTGGGGGTTATGGTAAGCAGCATCCTTAAACCAAGACAGTAGTGCCTGAGTGTGCATAATAAGGCAAATAGATTGTTGGGATTTACATCAAGAACTGTAAGCAACAGAAGTCCAGCGGTTATACTTCAGCTTTATATGTCATTAGTAAGGCCTCACCTAGATTATGCAGCTCAGTTCTGGTCTCCATTTTACAGAATGGATATAAATTCGTTAGAAAACATTCATGACGAATGACAAAATTAATTGACTGCATTAGAAATCTTCTGTATGAAGAGAGATTGAAGTCCCTTAATTTACATTCACTTGTAAGATGAAGAATGAGGGGAGACATGATTGAGGTGTACAAGTGGAAGATGGGTATTAATAAAGGGGATATTAATAAGGTCTTGAGGATATCTCTTCAAGAGAGAACCCAAAATAATAGATTCAAATTGGAGAAGTTTAGATTTAGAAAGGATATAGGAAAGTATTGGTTTGGAAATAGGGTAGTGATGAGTGGAACAGTCTGCCTAGTAGAGTTACTGAGGCTAAGGCCTTGGGTAGTTTCAAATTTAGGTTGGATAAATACATGAGTGACAGGGGTTGGATTTAAGTGGGACTTGCACATGAGTTAATAGAATTATCAAAGCTTGTTCCTTGGGTAGAATTGAAAATTTAGTTGGGCAAATATTCTGTTAGTGAGATGGATTGTGAAGGACCTGCCTAGTATGGGCTAACAGGCCTGCTGCAGTGCTCCTCCTTTCTTATGTTCAGTTATTTGGTTGATGTGCACCTCAGATGTGCCTGGTGTTATACTCACTCCAAGATCTTTTTCCTTGAGTGAGGTTTGTAGTCTCTGGCCCCCTAAACTGTACTCCGTCTGCAGTCTTCTTAGCCCTTCTCCAATCTTCATGACTGCATTTGGTGGGGTTGAACTCCAGGAGCCAATTGCTGGACCAGGCCTGCAGCCTGTCCAGATCCCACTGTAGTTCTGCCCGGTCCTCGTCCAACTGAATTCTTCTCATCAACTTCACATCATCTGCAAACAGGGACACTTCGGAGTCTATTCCTTCCGTCATGTCATTCACAAATACCAGAAGCAGCACCGGTCCTAGAACTGATCCCTATGGAACCCCACTCGTCACAGGAGCCCACTCTGACACATTGCCTCGTACCATGACTCGCTGCTGTCTTCCTGACAGGTATTCCCTGATCCATTGTAGTGCCTTCCCTGTTATCCCTGCCTGGTCCTCCATTTTTGCACTAATCTCTTGTGTGGAACTATCAAATGCCTTCTTACAGTCCAAGAAAACGCAATCTACCCACCCCTCTCTCTCTCTTGTCTTACTGCTGTCACCCTGTCATAGAACTCCAGTAGGTTTGTGACACAGGATTTCCCAT